AGCGGCTGAGAGACCCTCCAAGAGTCGACTCCTGCTCAAATCGGTCAAACAGGTCATATTTTCAATAATTCTGTACACAATTTCATTTATTATTAATAAAAATTTTAACAGAAACTGACTCTTGTTTCGCACTCCCGTAATGCCCAATCTATGCATGAATTCTAAGCCCTTTGTGCATTCTCAGGGTAAACCCAAGGCACACTCACCATATAGTTGATTCTCACAGTTGCCACTCGACCATTATGGCAGGGTCGAAAAGACCCTGTTTCGTCCTATGCACCCAACCTTAGGGTTGTCATTTTGCCGAAAAATCACAGTTTTGTCGTAGGCACCTGACCTTAAGGTTATCATTTTGCCGAAAATTCCTAGTTTCGTCCTGGACACCCAACCTCAGGGTTGTTATTTGCTGAAAAGCTCTAGTTTTGTCTTGGGTACCTAACCTCAAGGTTATCATTTTGCCAAAAAGCTCGATTTTGCCGAAAAGACCCAGACATCTATGTAAGTCCTGAGCACCCAACCTCAGGGTTGTCATTTTACCGAAAAACCTCAATTTCGTCCTGGGCATCCAACCTCAGGGTTGTCATTTTACCGAAAAGACCTAGGCGTCTACGTAAGTCCTGGGCATCCAATCTTAGTGTTGCCACTTTACCGAAAAAACCTTAGCGCTCTCATTAAGTCCAAGGCGAGCACCGTAAGACCTTGGTTGCATCATGAGTAAACCCAAGTCATGGAGTTCAATTGTTCGGTCGTCTTCGACAAAAAGACCTAGGCACTTCAACTTGCCAGTTTTCGTCGACAAAGAGACCCAGACATCTCGCCAATAAGAGGCGTAAAATGAGTTAGTTGTCTCGACCCCTCAGCACTCGGGTCGACACAACACAACCGACTCATTACTAACACTTGGTTCTCAATCAGAACAAAGCTTCTCATTTCACTCGGACCCGGCTAAAGTCTAAAGTCGACTCCAAGCGAAATGGACCAACTGTTATGATGTTTTCAATCGCCAAAGTGTGACCCTTTATCAGCAACGGACATGTGCACTTCTACATGCAATGCCTCAATCAAATTGACGGCCAGAGACTAGCGAGGATTCTAACTCAGCCGACTCGTCGAGTTGACATCTCCTTATGTCGACATGAATGGCGGTACTAGTCGACCCTATTGTCGAAGACAACTCACAACGAGCCCACTCGACCAATTATTCGACGTGTCACGAGGATAATTTGAAAGGCGTTACTTCTCGACAAAGCTAGAGGACGACTTCAGCCTCGAGCCTCTCCCACTGACACAACGTCGACGTCGTATTTAATGTTTGACAGGCGCCATCATGCCTCTAGCCCCGATAGTCTTCATGACTCATCGGACCACGTCAGCACCACTATGCCTCAAATCACGTCTCATGTAATGATGAAGTGATCTCTCCTCCACCAGCTGAATGACACATATAAAGTAGGTGCTGACGCAGCTGCCAACTCATACTTCTTCACCGTCTTATTGTGCTCGGCCGAAGTGTTTATTCTACCCTTATACCATCAATATAAATAAGAGGTACTATTCTAACAAAAAGAAGCTTCTTGCTTCTTCCAGATCTAATCTCTGATTTAAGCAATATCTTTAAACTACTGCACACACAAGAACTCTCACAATTCATTTTCCCCACTCAAGTTCACCAGCTGACTTGATCGTCGGAGTAATCACGGGGAACCAAGCCACGTCCTCTCACGAGTTTCTACTTGTGCATGCTTCAGTCACTTAACTCAGAACCGGATATTCGGGCAAGGAAGCGGTCTCTCATCAACTTCACCCCCATCCAACCATTTTAATTGACTGTATGATCACTTAAACATCAACAATTATATTATTAAAAAATTAAACAAATAATTTAATATTATTTTTAGAATTGTTTTCTCAAAGATTATTACATGATACTGAATAATCTATACTTAGTAATGCTTGAAAACTAACTTTTTTATAAAAAATTATTTAATATTAATAATAGTACTATTAATTAATAATAATAGTATAATAAAAAATTTATAAAATATTTATAGTAATAAAGTATTTAAGAGCATAATTAAAAAAATTAAATTAGGTAAATTTTTTATAGTATATAGATAGTATAATTATTTTAATAGTATTTATTTAAGAGCATAATTAAAAATTTTAAATTAGATAAATATTTTATAGTATACATATAGTATAATTATTTTAATATATTTATTGAACTAAGAATTATAATATTAAATAAGGTAAATTATAGTAAATCCCCATGAACTTTCATCATTTTACAGTAAATATATTTTATGAACTTTCAAAATCACAGTAAACCCCTAATAACTTTTGTAGAAAATCCCCAATATCTTTTAGATAAATTACACCAAAACCCCAATAATAATAACTTTTGTAGAAAACCACCAATGTCTTTTAGATAACTTACACCAACCCCCAAGAACTTTCAAAATACATTTTTATGCCATTTTATGTTTCTAATTTATAGGGGTTATTTGAAAATTTTAGGAAGTTATTGGGAGTTATATTTGAAACAGAAAAGTTTTTAGGGTTTTAGTGTGATTTTGAATGTTCATAGGGGTTGAAAGTTCATAAGGAAGGATTTAGTGTAACTTACCCTATTAAATAATTAAAATGAGATGTAACAATTGCAATATATTACTGGTATTAAGATTAACTATCTAGAGAATATCAGGGAAAAAGCTAGCAAGATCAATACAGCTTAGTTAATTTAGAGTTAACAACTTTTAACTTGGAGGGGCATATCTAAGAGAACTTATAAATTTGGTAGACTTATTTAAGAACAATTGTAAATTTGAAGGGGGGGTTATTTAAAAAAAGGTTAGCACTATGGAATCATTATAAGAAAAAACTTCAATTATAATAACTACACAATAATAATTACTTCTTATATTTCTTTGTAAGCAATCTTATTATACAATTTTATTTATTAACACAGAATTTTAGTATTCAATAAAAAGTTCAAAACTTAAAACATATACGTTCACGTGCTTTGCATGTACATTATACTATTCTTTAAAAATAATATTTGTACAAATCACAAAATTGTTAACTCCTCCGGTGTCTCCATTAGGATTAGTACTATAATCAAATTCATCTGTATGCATAACAATGCCCAGTATGAAATGTAGTAGACTTCCATCAGAAAGACATGCAAGATATTGCATTCATGAACTAAAAAAGTATACCTGACATCCTTTGTACACAACCCAAAACTTCGTTTCCTTTTATTTGGCACCCACTGGTTCCCGTCTTGTAAATCGACCATGAACAAACAATTTAATCATGAAACTCAAATAACTAACGTCAAAAAAGGCATCTCTATATTGATTTAGTTTACTTCTGGTTGGGTAACTGTTAAAGCTGCATCCCTTACCCGTGCAATGCACAATCTGGAATAAAACAAATATAAATAAGAGAGAACTAAAAGAAGTACTATATTTAAAAAAAAATTCAAGTTAGCTGTTGAACGTTTGTGAAACGTTATGTTTAAAGTAATATTTGGCATACTCCAGTGCAAGGATCTCAATGCCAAACTGCTTTCGAGAACAACAGTACAATACAATGGTGTGCACTAGCTAAGTGCTGTCAAGATCTCCTCGATCTATAAGACCTTTCGGTCAAGGCAACGATCTCATCGATCTGTTAAAACCTTTCGGTTCAAAATCTTTTGGTTCAAGCAAAGATCTTTCGATCTGTAATAACCTTTCGGTTCAGGGCTATGTTCCTTCGGGCACAGACTAAAGCTTGCACGCTTTTAAACTCTGCAGCAGCAGCACAACAGCTTAATAGTTTCAATCTGTTCAAGTTTTACAACACTTCAGTGTGTTTACCCCCCTCCCAAGAACTGCCCCAAGGGGTACTATTTATAGGCCTCTAAGACCAGCTCAAAGGTCACCCACAGTCAATTTAACTGTATAAATCATAATGACAATTATGATTGTAACAACAAATAACTTAATTGTTGTAATTGCTGCATGCAGTAACGCCTGAACGCGAGGATCGCGTTCCCTCTCGCAAACGTGAGGTTCACACCTTCGCACGAACGTGAGGTGACCTCGCACCTTCGCACGAACGCAAGAGTCACATGCGAACGCGAAGCACGCCCGCATGCTGTGAAGCAGCCTGCGTGGCGGCCACAGTTGCAGCCAACGTAGTGCCAAAGGACGCCACCTAGCCCCAATGCATCCGTGCGAAGTGCAAAGTACGCCTCACAAAACGCCTCAGCCCGATTAACTCCGATCACCGGTCCACGGTCCACGAGCCCACGTCCTACGACCCATTAATACTTATGAGAGATTAATTGATTTATTTAAGACAAAACAATTCTCAGCTTGCCTATGGCAAACCTCGAACGAAGGATCTTTTGAAACATCAAACATATTTTTCACTACGCTACTAAAAAATACCAGTAGTTAGTAAACATATAATTTGAAAACTTAATTTGGAAAGCGGTTTTGACCAATAAATCCAACATATATATATATATATATATATATATATATATATATATATATATATCAATATATAATATAAATATATATATATATATATATATATATATATATATATATATATATATATATATATATATATATATATATATATATATATATATGAGATTAATGGGTATCCTTGTCATAGGAGGGGATTTCCTCCTATGACGCCTCTAAAATCACATGATTGAGCGACATTGTGGATGATCCGCTCCGTTGAACTTGATCTACATATTCTAAAACCCCAACACATCAAGTTTGGTGAACCCGTCGTCGTTTTGACCCATCATCCACTCGTATCAATTTTAACGCGTTTTGAATGAATAGAACTTTTCACATGGCTCGATGGAGGGTCAAACGATGACGGATTCACCTCAAACTTGGGTGTGTTGGGGTTTTAGAATATGTAGATCAAGTTCAACGGAGCGGATCATCCCATAATGTCGCTCAATCATGTG